TTCCATTAAATCAAGTGTTAATTTGCCTCTAATCCCGGCACTCCAGAGCCTGAGGTAGAAGGATCACCATGAGTTTGAGAGCAGCATGGGCTACACAGTGAGTTCAAGACCAACCTGAACTGCGTAGTGAGACCTTGTCTCAAAAAACCAAAAATATACCCCAAATGTTGCGTTAACTGAAGACTTATGAGACAGAAGTGGCAACAGAAATGATAACATTAAGAGTGATGGTCCACTCCAAAGTGATGAAGAGTTACAGACATGAAAATTCAGAAAATGTTTCTTTATCTTGTTTGGGTGGATTAAGGACATCTGTTAATAACATACAACATACTGAGTTATGAAGTTCACATTAAACAACCATGTCCATTTGTTCTCAAGTGCACTTGTTATTTGTGCATTGTGTCTGTACCCTGATTGGTCGTTTGGCAATAAGTCTCTAGTTCATCTGTTTACATGGGTGTTCATCTCTTGTTCAAAGACACCTGCTTGGGTACTTATAAATACTTGATTATAATTTATATTATCATTTATTTTAAGAATGTCACTAATACTTATTTGTATGTAATTTTATATTAATATTTTATAGTTCAGTATGTCCATCGTGTGTTAAAAAGATGTACTAAATGCATCCATCTGGCTAACAGTCTTAACTGGGGCTTATTTTGGGGGTAGGACTTAACATTACAAGCATGCTGAAAAATCAGGCTAGGGCTAATTTTCCAGGTAAGGCTTATTTTTGGGAAAATATGGTACTTATAAAGATCAGAGCAGAAGTCATTGAAATTGACACCAAAACAATTTACAAAGAATCAATGAATTTCAAAGAGTTGGTTCTTCGAAAGAATAAACAAAATATGCAATCCATTAGCCAATCTTACCCCAAAAGGAGAGAGAAAGCCTAAATCAGTGCGATTAGAAACATTAAAATGAAATCACAAGAGGCACTGCTGAAATTAAAAAGTGTAACAACTACTTCCCATACTTGTTCACCAATAAATTGGAGAATTCAGAAGAAGTGGATAGATTCCTAGGTACTACATATGATTTACCTAAATTGAACCGGGAATATTAAACTCTGCATAGTCCAATAACAGGCAATTAAATTGAAGCTGTAATATCAACTAAGAAAAGCCCTGATCTGGATGAGTTCATTGCTGAAATCTACAAAAACTTCAGGGAGGATCTAACACCAGTACTCTTCTCCCTCTCTAATAAAGTTGAAAGGGGAGGGATGTTTCCAAAGTCATTCCTTGAAGCTATCATTAACCTGATGCTAAAACTAGACAAGGATCCAGGCCAGGTGTAGTAGCGCACAACTGTAACCAGCACTTGGGAGGCTGGGGCAAGAGGATCACTATGATCACATTCAAGGCCACCCTAGGGGCGCAGAGTTCAAGGACAGTCTGATCTACATAGTGAGACCCAGAGTGTCTCAAGTGAAACAAAAGAACCAGTCATGGATCCAAGCAAAAAGGAGAACTATAAACCAGTCTCTTTAATGAATATAGATGCAAAAATCCTCAAGAAGATAACTGACAATGCAGCAAATCATCGAAAAGAGCATATATATATATATATTTTTTTTGTTTGTTTGTTTGTTTTTCTCCGGTACTGGGAACTGAACTCACGACCTTGAGCTTGCCAGGCAGGCGCTTTTGCCGCTGAGCTAAATCCCCAGCCCTGAAAAGAGCATATTATGACTGAATAGGTTCATCCCAGGGAGGCAAGGATGGTTCAACATAGTAAATCAATAAATGTAATACATCATATCAATAGAAACAAGGACAACAATCATAGACTCATTTCAATAAATGCAGGGAAAACCTTTGATAAAATCCAATACCTTTCATGATAAAAACTGAAAAAATAGATATAAAAGGACCTTATCTCAGTCTGATAAAAGCTATTTATGATAAGCCTACTGGCAAGATCATATTAAATTGGGGGAAACTGAAAGCTTTTCCTCTAAAATCAGGAACAGGAAAAGAATGTCTAGTACTTGAAACATTAGTAAGAGCAGTTAGGCAAGAAAAAGAAATAAAAGGGATATGTATAGGAAAGGAAGAAGTCAAACGATCATTTGTAGATACGATTCTCTATGTAGAAACCCCCACCAAAATCCACCAAAAGACTTTAGAATTAATAATTAAATTCAGTAATATAGCAGGGTACAAAATCAATACAAAAACCAGTATCATTTCTCTATTCTGAGTAAGAAATTAGGAAAAAAATACTATTCACAATAGCACCAAGAAATGTTAAGTACATGAGAACCTAAGGAAGTGAAAGACATCTGCAATGAAAGCTATAGTCTTATGAAAAAAGAAATTGAAGAGGACATCAGAAAGTGGAAAAATACCCTATGTTCCTGAATAGGCAGAAACAGTACAGTCAAAATGACCATACTTTCAAAATTGATACACAGATTTAATCCACTCTCAATCAAAACACCAACCACATTCTTCACAGAACTGGAGAAAACCTAAAATTCACATGGAATTGGAAGAGACCCAGAATTGCAAAAGTAAGTCTGGGTAACAGGCAAAGCAGGAGACATCACAATCCTGGACTTGAAGTTATATTACAAAGCTATAGTGATGAAAACCTTGTGGTACTAGCATAAAAACTGACATGAGGATCAGTGGAACAGACTAGAGAATGCAGAACAACCCGAAGTGCATTCAACTATTTGATCTTTAACAGAGGGCCTAAAAAGATATCCTGGAGGGAAGGTAGCCACTTCAATAAATGGAGCTGGGGAAACTGGCTGTCCACATGCAAAATATTGAATCTTGACCTATATCTCTCACCACTGTACTAAATGGATCATAGAACTAAATGTTCAAACAGAAACATAACCTGGTGGAAAATAAAATAGGTAAAACTCCTGAAGTCACAGGCATAGGCAAGGACTTTCTGAGCAGAACCCCAGTTGCACAAGAAATAATGTCAAGAATCAATAAATGGAACCATATCAAATTGAAAAGCTTCTGCACAGCAAAAGAAACAACCAACAGAATGAAAAGAAAATCTGCAGAGTAGGAAATAACTTTTTCAGGTATTAGAGAACTGATATCTAGAATAAATAACTCAAAAAAAAACTAGACTCCCCAATATGAAAGACTCAATTAAAAACATGCAAGTGAAATGAAACACAAATGTCCAATAAATACATGAAGAAATGCTCAATACTGATGGCCATCAGAGAAATGCAGATTAAAATAATGCTGAGATTCCATCTTACCCACAATGGCCATCATCAAGAAGTCAGATAATACCGGTGGTGTCAAGCTAATAACAATAGTGTCAAGGCTGTGGGTAAGATGGAACCTTGCTGCAGTATTGGTGAGTGTATAAACTCATACAAACTCTTAGTTACTTTTCTTGTTGCTGAGGCAAAATATCCAGCACCCTGAGTTAAAGGGGGAAAGGGTTAATTAGCTCACAGTCTGTGAGGTTTCAGTCCATAATCTGCTGGCCCCAAGGCAGACTTACCCAGACTTACTTTTGCAATTCTGGGTCTCTTCCAACTCCATGTGAATTTTAGGACTGTTTTCTCCAGTTCTGGGAAGAATGTGGTTGGTGTTTTGATTGCAAGTGGATTAAATCTGTGTATCAATTTTGGAAGTATGGTCATTTTGACTGTACATGGTGGAGGGGCAACAGTTCATGGCAGTGGAAGACAGCAAAATCAATGAGAGAGAGAAACAAATCTCTTTCTGTCCCTTCCATAGTATCCATTCTACTGGGATTAGGTGGTACCAGTCCAGTCAGTGGACTAATCCAGCAGTTACCCACCCTTCATCCCAGCATTGTACTACAAATCAATCACACATTCTAGATTCAGCCACCTCTGAAAAAACCCTGTGACTGCATGAGACTTTGGGGGAACCATCTAGACACAAACCATAACACAAGCACTATGGAAATCAGTATGGATATTCCTCAAAAAACTAAAATTAGAAATTCCATTTGACCCAGGTGTTCACCCTTAGGTTATCTTCCTGAAGGTGTTACAAACATCATATTACAGTGATACATGCACACCCCTGTTTATGTCTGTGCGGTTCATAGTTGCTAAATCTTGGAAGCATCCTGTAAGTCCATCAACAGATCAGTGGATAAAGAAAATATATTTACACACAGTGGAATACTACTGTGCTATAAAGAAGAGTAAACGTGTCATTTGTAGGAAAATGGGTGCAGTTTGAGACCATAATATTAAGTGAAATAATGAGACACACAGACTTAAATATTGCATGGTTTCTTTTGTGTGAGAAACGCAATATGTAAATAAACAGCAAAATAAAGATGAGATAAATCTCAAATGGGAAGGAGGTAGAGGGATGAAGGGAGGGGACAATGGGGAAGGGAAAGGGTTGAAAAAAGGAATTAAGATGTGTTGTGTGCGTGTTTCAACTCCACATGGAAATATAAACATGCACTGCAGATACGTGCTAATAAAAAGGATGGTAGCAAGTGAAGTGAGGGGAAGGGATTTTTTTTTTTTTTAATTTGTAAAAGACTGGCATTCTGAGAAAAGGTTGGAGATGCTTGAATGGAGGAGAGGATAACAGTAATAAAAGGTTCTACAATCAAGCTGTATTGGAGCTAGCTAGTAAGTGGAGGAAATCGGCAGTAGCTGGTTATCCCCCTCCATTGTCCAGCGTGAAGGGAGAAAAATGTGGGTAAAGGTATAGCTAAGTTTTTATTTACATCATGTCGTAGGAAGTGGATGTGTGTCCCACAGGTGGCTTCTCTTTTCTCTGAAGTGTACTGTGAAGTCTTGTGCTGAGACGAAAGGGAGTTGAGTTGTTAGAAATTAGAGAGCAGAGGTGGTTTGACATGCCAGGCATGATGGCTGGCAGAATGGGCTAGCACGCTCTCTCTGTGAACTATAGATCTTTGACTGACAAACTGCTTTATAACTTAAAAAGTACTGGGTAAATGTTAGTTGAAATGATTGTGAATTGAACAGCAAAAATCATATTGAAAAGTTCTTTCCATCTTCCCCATTTACGTTTTAATGTGGAGACAGTAGAATATAAAAATATCAGCTTCACAGTCTGGGATGTTGGTGGCCAAGATAAGATCAGACCTTTGTGGCGACATTACTTCCAGAACACCCAAGGTAAAGATTGGAATTCTGGGTATCAGATACATCTGAGGAGGATGCTTGCAGGGATGCTGGGTGCTCTGCTTTGTGTGGACTGTCAGTCATTGCCTCCCTTTTGCCAGTTTCCTCACCCTTACTGGGAAGGTGTTTTTCTGAAATGTGATCCCTCTACTCCTAGAAAAGGGACTTGGGATTTGACTGCTTTTAATCCAAAGTGGTTAGATGGTTACTTTGTTTTTTCTTTTTTTTTTTTTTTTTTTTATGCCAGGAATCAAACTCACGACCTTGCGCTTTCCAGGTTGGTGCTGTGCCCCTGAGCTATATCCCTGGCATGATGGTTACTGTATCTTGATGAAT